TAAATGCCATGTTGAGGCTGTCATTTTTAGCATCTACATGGATGTTAAAATCATGTTAAAATGTTAAAATCACCCACAATAATTATTTTATCATTTAAGCATGTAACACACTTTTGATTATCCACTGCTAAAAAAAACAGAAAACTGGAAAACTTAAAGACACAATGTAACTCCAAGTCAATCACACTTCTGTGAAATCAAGCTACAGGAGGCCATAGGAGAGCAACAACCCAGCAGCAGGACTGATACCTCCTGCTGCAAGGAAGAACAGGAGGAGCACTGCCAGAGCTCTGCAAAATGACCTCCAGCCGGCCACAAATGTGCATGTGTCTGCTCAAACGGTCAGAAACAGACTCCATGAGGGTGGGATGAAGGCCCGATGTCCACAGGTGGGGATTGTACTTACAGCCCAACACCGTGCAGGACGTTTGGCATTTGCCAGAGAACACCAAGATTGGGAACTTTGCCACAGGTGCCCTGTGCTCTTCACAGATGAATGCAGGTTCACATTGAGCACATTATGACAGACGTGACAGAGTCTGGAGACACGATGGAGAACATTCTGCTGCCTGCAACATCCTCCAGCATGACCGGTTTGGCAGTGGGTCAGTAACGGTTTGGGGTGGCATTTCTTTGTGGGGCTGAACAGCCCTCCATGTGCTCGCCAGAGGTAGCCTGACTGCCATTAGGTACCGAGATGAGATCCTTAGACCCCTTGTGAGGCCATATGCTGGTGTTGTTGGGCCTGGGTTCCTCCTAATGCAAGACAATGCTAGACTTCATGTGGCTGGAGTGTGTCAGCAGTTCCTGCAAGACAAAGGCATTAATGCTATGGACTGGCCTACCCGTTCCCCAGACCTATATCCAGTCGAGCACATCTGGGACATCACGTCTCGCTCTATCCACCAAAGCCACGGTGCACCACATACTGTCCAGGAGCTGGCGGATACTTTAGTCCATGTCTGGGAAGAGATCCCCCAGGACACCATCCGCCACCTCATCAGGAGCATGCCCAGGCACTGCAGGGAGATCATAGAGCCACACACACTACTGAGCTTTATTTGACTTTTTTTAAAAAGACATTACCGTACATGAAAGTTGGATCAGCCTGTAATGTGTTTTTCCACTTTAATTTTGAGTGGGGCTCCAAATCCATGGGTTGTTAAATTTGATTTCCATTGATGATTTTGATGTGATTTTGTTGTCAGCACATTCAACTATGCAAAGAACAAAGTATTTAATAAGAATATTTCATTCATTCAGATCTGGGATGTCTTATTTTTGTATTCCCTTTATTTTTTTGAGCAGTGTATTTCTGATAAATGAAGAGTGTGAAACTGAAGTTGGATCCACCTTATTATATAGTTATTGGGCTATATGGTTATTTGTTACATAGACTATGGTGCACATACAATCAAAATGCCCATTCTTTTCTTTACTAACTAAAATGTTTAATTACTTGGGCTAATACCAATAATAAAGTTACAGACTATGATTATATGAAATGTGTATACTTACTGAAATTGCAGTATTTTAATGATGTACAGTCCATATTAGAGAATCCTGCAAAAGTGTAAAGAAATGGCATAATTAATCTTACCGTGTTGACACAGTCCTCTGTACATCTTACTTGATTTGAGAGAAATAATATAAAGCATTAATATATGTTGTCCAGTGCTGAGGCAGAACCACTCAGTGACAAATAAATTTTCCTGTACTCTTAAATCTGAATACAGATTATTTAATATTGGAGTAAATCAGTAGTAACTCCAGATTTACTTGTGAAAAAGTACACAAATTAAAGTACCATCAGTGAAAACTGCCACAGTTTTACTGAGAAAGATAACGACAAACAATCAAAAGGATAAAATAAAAAAATAAAAAGGCACAATTGCATCTAAAACACAACACGGCCTCACAACAACTAGAACATGATTCCTTTTAGTCAAACACATGCATGCTCTGTGCTCATCACACTGTGACATTCCATTCTATAAAGTGACACCGCAGATAATATGTGAAGCACAATATTAGTAAATTAATACTTAAAAATTCATACAAACGACATGCATCAATTAAAAAATGTCTCATATCATTAAACCTGATTTCTTGCAACTCCAAAACGAGCCTGAAAAAACGAAAGAAAAATGAAAGGCGTCTCACGGATGAAGTTAAACGGCTTAAAACTAAGATTTTAACCCTGGTGGAGAAATCGTTGAAAAAAAAGAGCAGGATGAGGCTGCCAAGTTTAAAAATGAAAGAGATCCAACAGTCAAAAGCGGAAAAACTACAAATTCTTTTCCTCCGGAAATCGGAGAAGACGTTTGAGACCAACAAATATGAGGAAATAAATCTGTCCATGGAGAAGAAATGCAAAGATTTTGAAGATAAATGCGATTGAGAGAAAAACACGGGAGCAGAGAGATAAACACGTAGTTTTGAAAGGGACTTGGATAATAAAGCGTTGTGGAAAGATTAAGATTAAAAACCCTGGACACATAAAGTCGGACAAAGGAAGAAGCTGTCTAGTGTGCAGCACCTAGAAAGAGTCATTAAGATGAAAAACAACAAAGTGCCTAAAGATATAACTTAAATGTATTATTATATTTTCTCTTTGTAGTAAACAGCTGAGATATCCTGGCTGTTCAGAACAATCACCTCCTCCACGTTCGCGCTAGTCTGTCAGGTGGGCGTGTTTCTGCGCTGCCATTGGACAAACGCGGTTCCCGTTCCTCTCTGCCTTCCGCTTTCTTTTCATATGCACGCCCAGCCTCTGAATAATGATAATAATGATCAAGATGGCTACTTCAGAATCCTCCTTGCGGTAGCTAACCACCAATTTCATGGAAGCTGTCAAAACTGCGATTTCCTGCAGTTTAAGTCACTCGTAGGCGACGGGGGCTGTTCCAGGGATAATACTGTATGGATTAAAACGGGCCGAGGAGCGATAAAAGTCATTGTGTTGCCCGCAGCACTCATTCCGAGGAAGCTAACTAGCTGAGCAACTAGCTAGCTCTTACTTGTCGACCATCTCCAGTTTAGCTCCCCTGCCACTGGCGGCTGAGAGGAGCGTGGCGCTCCAGGTTTTGTGTGCCCGGACGTCGGAAGGAGAGCGTCAAATGGCAGAGCCGAGGAAAGTGCCGTTCGTCACCATTTCCACCCTCAACACCACCCCGCCGCCGACCCCGGAGACCAGCAAGAAACGCCGCCGCGAAGATGAGGCCGTCGACATCACTTTTGGGAAAGATGGAGGTGGGAGTGCGGTCGGGTCAGGGGGTGGCGGAGGTCTGTTCGGCAACGAGAAAGGTAGCGACGCGCAGAGGGAGGAGAAGAAGCCCACCGTCCGCCTCAACCTCACGCTGAGCGAGCCGAATGAGCGAGGGTCCTCCGAGTTCAACTACGGCGAGCTGGTCCACTCATCTCTTTCTCAGGTTAGGAGAGCAGAGGCAGACACGGTGGTGTTAGCGGGGGGGCTAACCGGGCACAACTCCGGTGGTGGTGAACCCGCGTGCATGTTGCACTTGTTGTTTTGTTGTTGTTGTGGCTGCTGAACTTTTGTCTGACAGGATTTGCAAATAAAGTAGATCACACTGAGCCCATAAATACGTGATGTTCATGCTCCTTATGTATTTATTTATTATGACCTTTAGATAGATTTTGGAGAGTTTGAAGCAGTGCAGTTTAAAAACGCAGTCTGAATGCAGGCTGAAGTATTTTAAGTGTCAGGGACACTGGACCCTCTTATTATTACCATCCTATCTTGTTACTCCTATGTCTACATCTTATGTTATGACCGATATAGAGGTGTCCTACTTAATCCACACAAGACAAAGAGTTGCTGTAGTGAGAACCTCCCTACTTTTTCATTTATTTTTATTTTTTATGCAGGTTGCATGTATTGCCAGGTGCGATTATGACGTTGATGTTGTTGTCAGCCTTACGTATTTACAATTCAAGTTGCTATCCTGGTGTTCCTCAGGTAAAGCCCGTGGGTTCTGCTGTACCCAAAGGACTCACTCCTCCACTGGACCCCAGTGACCCTTTTGCAGATGATGAGAAGGAGAGGCGGGAGGTAGAAGAGCTTGCCAGAAAATTTGAAAGCAAATATGTAAGTAGCAAAGTAAACTCGGGCCTGTTTGTATAACACCAGTTGAGGACAACAGTCGTCCAAAGTCGCTTTATGTTGTAAGGTAAAGACCCTAGAGTAAAACGTGAAGAATGTTAGCGTTTCCTGCCTGACTGCTAGTCAAGCGTTTGAGGAATTATTCAACCCTTCATGGTTTAAAAATCTAATTTTTGGAAGCTTCAAAAATGTAGGCTTAGTTCCAGGGTTGAGAAACAGTGTTAAAGCTATGTTATCACTTGATAACAAGTCTTTTCTAATATTGGCTTTTACCAGCACGGGAATGAAGCAGGCTCCATAATAACATGCAAATTAGTGGCGATTCTGAATATTTCACAACAGCCAGAAACGAGACTAACGTCAGAGTCATGTTAGGGAAATTCTAGCTATTTGAATGCTAGGTTTCAAGTTGAAGTTGTTGAATGGTAGCAAAATGTTTGTCCTGGATTTCCCTTCCTTCTGTTTGGCTGCCTGCTATCTAATAACCGCAGGGGTCAGTGGAGTTGAATGATAATGTGACTGAGAGACCTTCTCTGGAGTTTGAGTTATCATAATTTAGCATTTCTGAATTGGTTCTAAGAGAGAGAGAATTTGCTCGTTTACTTTTAGTTTTTATTGTTTGAAAAGTTTACTTTCAGTTTTAGTTTTTATTTGCATGAGAGATGTTTTTTTTTTTTTTTTCCTTCACATCATTATTTAATAGAGGGCACAGTGAGACTGCTATATGTCAGCGGTTGATTTACTGTCATAGAAATCCTAAGTTTCAATAAATAATCAGACTGAACTTTCTAAACGTAGAAACGATTTCAATTGCACAATATTGTTTTTGATTAGAATTTTTGTTTTTATTTTAGTAATCTATTATTATCATCATTATTGTTGTTATTATTATTTTACCATACCTAGTTTTAGATCAGTTTTAGTTAGTTACAGTGGCGCCGTTTTTCTTCCACTGACTGACCGGCCAATCAAAAGGTGACTAAAACTCACACAGGTCGATGGTTCAGTGGCAGTTCTACAAAATGGTAACAATGTAGAATAGAAACATTCTGATGTCTTGTTGTTGAAGAGTCACTGATATGTGTGCTGTTGTGTTTGATTGTATCTTTTCTGTTAAATTAATTTAAAAATAATTTCTAAATTTTGTGACTGGTACGATTTTGTTCTGTATACAGTTTTCTTTTAAAACTAACAGACAATTTAGAAATCTAATAAATAATCTTGAGTTAAAAAAAACATTATTAATTAAATTTCTTGCTCCAGGTGACTTCTGCAGTTAAGTCGAGGTTAAACAGGCTTTTACTTACACACACGTGTTGGTTTTTGTGTTTGAGCATGCATATCATTTTTAAATTAAGTAAATATTTTTTTCCCAGTTAATGTATTCCTAGTTTTGCTTGGCATGACAACTCTTTTAGCCTACATGATTTGAACTGGTTAAGAGCTGCAAACCTTTTCTTTCAACCTCTAAAAGTTGATTCTGTTCGTCTGGACGCAGCGTTTTCAGTGGGAGAAACGTTTCGTCACTCATCCAAGTGACTTCTTCAGTCTGAGACAGAATCAACTTTTGGAGATTTACTTACCTGGATGATTGAGCATGACTTTTCTTTCAGCCATAAAGGCCCCCACAGGGTCCTCTGGATGATGAAGTGTCCTTTTCAAAAGTAAAAGTCTCATGTTTATTGTGATCCATGTTTGGTGCCTCCTGTACCCCCAGTACCACAGCGGGACAAGCAGCGCCCCTGCCTCCCTGTACTGAAGCGCTGGTTCTGCTGTCCATATTGTGGTTACAGCTGAATCTGTGTGGGTGATTATTGTTGCGTGTTTCTGTTGTATTTTTAAATATTTTGTGATCTTTGTGTTTACTGTCCATTTGCAGGGCGGCAGCTCGAAGAAGAAGAAAAAGGACAGAATGCAGGATCTCATTGACATCGGCTACGGCTACGATGAAACCGATCCCTTCATTGACAATTCAGAAGCTGTGAGTTTAATCTTTTAAAAAAAAGTAATCTTCTTTATTGGCGTTCATCAGAATAGGTTACGTTTCAGGTCTCTTTGCCAAAGATTAAAATAAGTAACGACCTTATTTGTAATGAAAGTAAAAAATAAGTGTAGTAAAAAGATGATAAACATTCATGTTGTATTAAAATAATAATGTGAAATTACAGTAACTTTAATATAAAGTCATGGTTCTTTGCTTTGCTTCATTTCCTTTTGTCAGTGGATGCTTTTGATCTGCAGTAGAAACAGAAGAATAAAAGAAACTGGATAATAGGGAAAACATTAAACAAATAAATATATAAGCTTTAATACTGAGAATAATATTAGTAAAGTTTAGTATTATTATGTGTAGTCGTTTGGAAGACTGACCGTGGAAGAAGACTGTTGCATCATAAGAAAACAAGCAGTTAATTGTAATTCTACCCCGTCCTCAGTATGATGAGCTGGTACCGGCCTCTCTCACCACTAAACATGGAGGCTTTTACATCAACACGGGCACTCTGCAGTTCAGAGCTGCGTCTGACTCTGAGGGAGAAAACGCGGCTGGAAACGATAATCATTTCAAGGTAGGTGCTTGGTTCTCTGTGCACTCTGTATATGAACAAATAGTTAAAAAGAAAAGCTGTTGCTTTGCACCTTGTATTATTCTGTGCCTTTTTTCACCTTTTGTGTCTTATCTGCAGAAGATGAAAGACGGTGAAGAGCGAGTGATTAAAAAGCGACGGAAAAAGCAAGATGGTGGAATTTTGGAGGAAAAGAAACCCCGAAAAAACAAAGTACCAAAGTCTGGGTGAGGTTTTGACCTGTAATCCTGTATTATAGTTATTTCAGTAAGTAGCTAATTCGTTCCTTAGATAAATTAACATGAGGTGTTCGTTTAAGAATAAGCATTGCTCCTCGTTGTGCCCGTCCCATCAGACAAATAAAGGAATATCTGCATTATTCATTTATTTAAAAATAGTTCAACACTACTTTTTGGCTTTTACATGGGACTTGAACTTTAATTTCTGAGGTGAAAGTCCTCTATATAATTTATTTTACCACTAGTTTTTCCCCAGAAGGCATAAGCAGGCCTAAACTTCTTTGTAGTACTTGTGTGTTCTGGTCTGTTATTGGCTGAAAGGAGGGTAGGAGGCTAGTTCCGTTTTATGCCACTTTAATTACAATATACTAAACGGTTGGTAAGAATTTGTTGTCCAGTGATGTCAGTGAAACACTGCTGTAACCACAGACCTAATCCCAACGCTGTGCCTTAAACGTCTTTATTCTCGGTGCTTCTTTGGTCTCGGCAGCGTTTTAGCTTTAAACCGTCCAGAAAAGAAGAAGAGGAAGAAGCTGATGAAGGATTCCCTGCACCTGGCCAACATGCTGCGACGCTTCACCAGGGAAAAGGAGGAGATGCGCAAGAAGAACATGGCCGCCGCCGGTCTGCCGCGACCTAGCCCCAAAGTGCCGAACACCAACAGTGCGCTCCTGAACACCCATCCCAAGGCCGCTGGCAGCAACGAGTGCAACATGGCCGACCTTTCCGCAGACCCTGCTGTGATGTCGCTGCTCGGCTCGGCCAACAACGACTTACTGCAGGACATGATGGGTGACCTGGACTTTGGGATGCTGGACTCGCCTCAGCCTTCCAGCCCGGCTCAGGGGGAGAACGGCTCCTTTGGGATGGGACACAAAATGGGAGGTAGCCGGGCGGTGCAGAGCAGTGTGATTACCCCTCCTCCTCTGCCCTGCGGACTTCCAGACCCACTCGCGAAACGCATTGAAGACCTGAGGGCGGTATGAGCCTTCTACCAGCTCTTTTTTTTTTTTTTTATTAAATAATTGTTAGTAAGAGTGTAAATTAAATGTGAAGTAGACTGCCTACATAACCAGTCCTATTCACTGCTGCGATGTCTGTTTGTCACAGGCGTCCCGTCTGTTTGATGAAGAGGGCAGAAAGAAATTCTTCACACTGGACATGAATAACATCCTACTGGAGTGAGTACATTCCTTCATTTTGAATTAGTGCGGATTAATTTGTATAAAATCAACTAAATGTAAATTTGTGTTTGTTTCTGTGTGTGTCAGCATCGAGCTGCAGGTTCAGGAGCAGCCCACAGAGGTGCGTTCAGCTGTCTACTCTCACCTGGAGGCCTTTGTGCCCTGCAATAAAGATGCTCTGCTCAAACGACTGAAGAAGCTCAGCCTCAACATACAGGTGTGTGGCAGCAAGTGTTCTTACTGTTAGAATGAGTTTTGGTAAAACGGGATCCCAAGAGGTCTACGATTTGCATTTGACATCACTTAAAGGTCCCATGTCCTTCCACTTAGTGAAGATGCTATGAGCACCATTTCTACCCGTCTCAGTGTCTGTGGCTTTAAGGCAGACTGGAACAGCTGCTGCACGTTCTTCTTTCAGGAAAATACTTCTATGAGTGACTGGTTCTGCCTAAGGTGTCTTCCTGTTAAAAGGGAGTTTTTCCTCCCCAGTGTTGACAACTGCTTAATCATTCATTCACAAAGACAGATTTAGTGTGAATTTGGCTGTATCAAAATGCAACAGCAGCAAATGGAGCAAAAAGCTAAGTGAGTTTAACTCTACTGAAGCCCAAACGCAGAGTAACACACCCAGTACTACTCATTTTGTTCTAAATCAGCTCTTAGGTTTTCCTCAGTTCATGGATGTCCCTCAGAATAACATTCTGCCCAGAGCTCTGACCTGTGTGCATGCGATTAAAGCATTACATTACCTTACCTTACGTTAGTGACATTAACCCTGCTAGATGCTAACACGGTGGTCCCATCTAAAACTTTTTATAAGAGAGCCGCTTCAGTTCATTCACAAAGAGCAGACCGACAGCAGCTTAAGGCCCTGACTTGTTTTTTGTTGGCCAGAATATGTTTTGCTGTTGATCTCCACAGCAGTACATTTAGCATCTGTGTTGCTATGATGCTCTCCTCAGCACACTCAGCAAACATGCCCATATGCACCCACAATGGATAGCTGTGGGTGAACTGCGGGTCTGTGTAGGTAGGCAGTGCAAACCCACACTTATACCCCGCTTGGGTGTTCACGCAGGACTGACAACAGTCGCAAAAAATGGGCTAAACCTGTTATGAGGCAACTGCTGCATTTGTGCAAAAGCTGTTGTTTTTGTGTCTGCGTGTCCATTATTCATTTCTGTATTGTCCTTATGAGTGTTGATTTCTCTCGTTGTCCAGGATGACCGACTACGAACGCCCCTGCTGAAGCTGAAGTTGGCGGTGTGCAGTGTGATGCCAGAGCAGATCGCTCGATACAACATGGACTGCATCGCCAAAGTTGCAAAGTAAGGACTCGCTCTGGGCTCTTACTCTGAGCTCACATACCTTTTTTCCTTAATCTAAAATGTTTGTTTCTTTGCTCGCAGGCAGCAGTCTGAGGAGGGAGAGAAAAATGGCTCGGAGGATGACGATGAGGAGAAGCCGGGGAAGAGGGTGATAGGGCCTCGGAAGAAGTTTGTGTGGGATGACAGACTCAGGTCAGTTTCCTCTCTGTGCTCACAGGATCCATCCTTTCCACTCTACTTGTTTGCTTTATTCAGCAGTTCAGTGCATTCTGGTAGCTCTGAGTGGCATAAAGCTGAGATCTAGGGCGCTTTATCCATATCGAGAGCATCTGCTGTGATCCCACGCCTCTGGAAACTCTAGGACACAAAAAACAGCCATCATTGATCATATATCAAGACACATCTGGTAGTTGGATCTGCACAGTTTGCATATGAGAAGCCATGTTTGTCGATCATGCGAGGTGTTTGTTCAGCCAGGTCCAGCCCAGTGTTTCTGGAAGCTACTGGAGAGGGAAAGCTGCAGGCAGTCATCAAGTGTGACACTTTGTAGTGCTTCGAACATCACACACTCAGTGCTGCGTGTGTGAATACATTGCAGTACATGCAAAAAATCTTTTATTTAATTTTAACAAAAATTGCTGTAAAATGAACATGATGTGGCTTTTCATTTTAAAAGATCCTCCCCAGTTTTTACCCATCAGCCTTTTATGGTATATTGTATTGTTGTCACCTTGCCAGGTGGGTGGGTGACGTGGACTTCAAGGTTTGTGAATACGATAACTTGAGAACTAAGCAACGTAGGAATTTCAAATTGATAGTATAGGTGTATTTACTAAAAATCTCAGACGAGTTTGAATCTCAGTGACCTCAACCTCAAGATCAGAGGTCAACTTAATGCTGTTTGCCTTCCAGGTCACTGCTGTGTAACTTGGTGCGGGTGAAGCTAACCTGCTACGAGCGTGAAGGCAAGAACACGCTGTCTCTGGAAGACTACCTCAAAGCCTTCATGGAGACTGAAGTCAAACCCCTCTGGCCTAAGGGGTGGATGCAGGCCAGGTGTGTGACAGCAGCTAATGCGATTTCTGTGGTTGTCCAGTGATTATAATAGCGGCTATCTTTCTCGTATGTTTTCAATCATGGCTTAAATAGAATGGTAATGAAGAAGTAATTCCCTAATATTAGTGCTTGTTGTATTCATATTTCTGTATTTCCCCATCTGCAGGATGCTGTTCAAAGAAAGCATCATGGCTCACGGTCATCTCACTGGCTACACGTACGTTTTTCACCTTACTATTAACCTATTTTCTCATCACTGATTTGTTCTAATAACTCATTCAATTTTATTTTGTTCCAGAGCAAAGAAGAAGATGCTCCCTGTTCCCAAAGCCAAGCCAAAGGTTAGTTGAACTTTCAAGTTAATCTGCAATCCATCTGTCAGCAGAGTGACTTTGTAATGGAAGGGCTCTTGATATAGAAGGGATGACTGCTACACATTTTACACTTGCCCACTTTGATCTAAAGTGGGCTGGACCAGTGAAACACTCCTTTTTGTCAGTGTAAAGAACTTTAGTGACTAATATAACTCTCTGAGATAACTTAAAATGAGAAAAAGAAGCATAGTTTCAACCATACTTCTTAGTTTTTCATAAAGAAATGCAGCTATGGGAAACCAAAGAAATCTGTCGGCACGACTCTTTGGACCTAATTTGTATGAAATAAATGTAAAATTACAAAAAGGGTTCTGGTAGTGCACTACCCAGACTGTCCTGCTATTCCTAATTACTTTGGTGTAGCATGAATAGCCATGGGGGAGGTTTTTGTCAACAGGAAAAACTGTAAAACTTATTCAAATATAGTTAAATGTCGACATGCCCTGCTGTGTCAAGTGCACCAGATTTGAATCTTTGCTGGGTCAACCATTATGTTTGACACCTCTTCTTCTTCTTTTTTTTTTGTTTTTTTTGTTTTTTAAAGGTTTAGATTCTAAATGTGTTCTCATTAGAAACTGTACAGCAACTGGAAGTTGGAGCAGAAACTCCGGACAGTAAATTGTGAAAAACACAAGTTATGCAAATGATCTCTTCAAAGTGAAACTTTGTCAATAAGGTTAAAGTTCTCTCACGGTGCTCGGCTAACGTTATCTCATGATGCGTGAAATGAGCCCTCTTGTATTTTAATGTGTTTGATAAAATATCAATATTTGGGTTTGTGTATTGATACAGTATCGCCATGCAGAATATTGTGATACTGTTGTTGTGTTTCACCTGCTACTCCTAGTATTTGAATGATTTCAGATTAACTTGAAGAAACATGGCGGTGCTCTTAAATGTCGCTAAAAGTATATTTGTGTCCTCTGTATTTTCCAGGAGGCTGTGTGGGTTCGTCACACCACACCCTCAGCAGGTGCCACTCCCTCCCCTGCTGCCCAGGTCGCCACGCGTCCGACTCAGTCACCGTCTGAGCCCATATGTCTCGATTCCCTCGATGAGGCTCCCTCTCTGGACTCCATCTCTCAGGCCTTGGCCATCCTTGGCAATGCAGCTAAGGGCCTGGCCCAGGGGGACAGCCCCCCGTCCCCAGATAAACCCAAGACTGTCACCACCCCCTCCGGCCTCCACACCTCACCGGTCATCCAGCAGCAGAAAAAGAACACTGTCAGCACTCCCAATAGCTCCAAAGCACCTCACTACATCTCTACCTCTTCGTCATCCTCCACCTCTTTGTCTCGGTCTCCCTCCGTCACGTCCTCTCCTCTGCCCTTGGTCAGGGTGGATGGCATGGGGGTTGTTAAGGGCACTGCGCAGGCGCACAGACATTTACTTTTAAACACGCAGAGACCTTTGAGTGTGGGTGTGACTAAAGCCAACATGCCTGCCTCAGTGTCTCCACCTAAACCACGTCCACCGCCCACTGCGTCTCCACTAGTGGCACCAGGATCAAAGACCGGGGTCTCCACTGCCCCTTCTGGGCTCCTCAAAGGCAGCAATAATAACAAAGTCAACAGTGTTGACACTCTGATCATCACATCACCTCGGCTACACACCCTCTCATCGCCCTCAGTCACGGTACAGAAAACATTTCAGACACCTCACCTGCCCCAGACTCCCCAGAGTAAATCCTCCTCCTCCCTCTCGCAAACACTCCCCAGCGTACAAGCACAGCCACAACCACAGTCTAACTTCATCACCCCTATGCACGCCACTCTCACCAAGTCCACCCACAGCAGCATCCCACCCATCGTCAAACTCACTCCCCGCACACCCAACCCCATCGTCACCGTTGCCACCTCATCCTCAGCTTCCATTTCTCAAAGTCCCAGGTCTCAGGCAACCCCGTCCCTACACCAGTACCCTAACAAAAGCCCAGCAGGTTTCCGCCCGCCGTTCTCAGGTGCCCAAGGAGGAGTGAACAAGCCGGGGCAAGGCAGTTACACTCCTCCAGGCAGCCAGAAGACCCCCAACAGCAGCACCAACACCAGCCTTATTAACACCTCATCCATAAGCAAGCATTCAGGATCCAGTGCCTCCCCCACGACAGCCTCTGCCAATCAAGGTCAGCGCCAGAGGTCTGGGGGCGGGACACCTCAGGGCGCCAAGCCAGTCACATCTGTCCCAATGTCATCCGTCTCTTCTCAGCTGCCACAGGTTTGTAGTGCCAGTATGGCCAGATAAGGAAACATGTAGGATGTACATCTGGAAAGTGTTCACAGTGCTTCACATGCCTTATTCGAAAATGGATTAGTTTCATATTTTACCTCTGCATACAGTACAGCATAATGACAAGCAGCAATTATAGCCTCAAGTCTTTTTGCGAATGACGCTGCAAGCTTGGCACACTTGGAGCAGTTTCTTATTATCTTTCTTTGCAGAACCTCTCAAGTGTCTTCAGATTAAATAGCTGTGCAGCGACGCTCATCTTCAGATCCAGAGATGTTCAGTCATGTTCAAGTTTGGGCCACTCAAGGACACACGGAGTGATCTTGAAACCCCTCTTTGTTATTTTGGCTGAGTGCGTGGTTTCCTCCAGACATGATGCTTCAGAACAAAGTGTTAAATCTTTGTTTCACGAGACCAGAGAATTTTGTTCCTCGTGGTCTGAGACTCTTTAACTGGCTTTTGGCAAACATCATGTGCCTTTAACTGATTCAGTTGATTGTTGTAATGATGCAGAAATGGTTATCCTTCTGGAAGTTTCTTCTTCTGCCACAGAGCAATGCTAGAGCTCAGTCAGAGTGACCATTGGGTTCTTGGTCGCATTACTGACTAAGGTCCTTCTACCCCGATTCCTCAGATTCCATTTACAGATGATGTAGGCCACTGTGCTCATTGAGACCTTCAATGCTGTAGACATTTTTTCTGTACCCTTCCCCAGATCTGTGCCTCGATGTAATCCTGTCTCAGAGGAATTCATGAGAACGAAGCGATGCAGGAATTTCAAATCGATACCATAGGTGTATCTGCTAAAAGAATCTAAGTGGCTTCGACGTAAAGGTCAAGTTTTCTGAAAATCTTGTGAATGTCACTTAGGATTTTCAAATTGATACGACAGATGTTTCTACTAAAGTCTCAGTGACTTCGACCTAAAGGTCAGAGGTCAAGTTTTCCTGACAAGCTTGTGAACGCAATAACTTGAGAACAAGGCGAGGTAGGATTTTGAAATTGATACCATATGTATCTACCAGCAGGCTGAGGGGTACCACTGGCTACTACCAGCATTTTTTCACTTGTCATTATGTGAAGAATTTTAAGGTGAAAAAATGATTTAATCATTTTGGAATAAGGCTGTAACATGAGACAATGTGGACCAAGTGAAGCTCTGTGAATACTGTGCGGATACACTGTCTGCAGCACATGTACACAGGTGGATTTTTCAACCCTGATTCTGTTGAATGAAACCACTTTCTTCCTGTTGTTAAACACTCCTAACCTATTTTTTTGCTCAGGTCTCCGCGGCAGGAAGCAGCAATCTGCTCAGCTCAGCCTCGTCTCTTCCGCTTGGTTTTGGGATGCTGGGGGGGCTGGTGCCTGTGTCCCTGCCCTTCCAGTTCCCTTCACTGTTAAACCTGCCTTCGCTGGGTGCAGCAGGCTCCAACACGGCACCCAGCAGCTCTGCAGCCAGTAGCAACCCACCGTTCTCCACCCTGACCCAGAGTGAGTGATGCACACAGGTCACAAGCGCTCATTGTACTGGGGGGGGGGCTTAGATTACGCACCAGGTGCAACTCTGACATTGATGGCAGCTGCAGATTTAACTAAGAGCATTGCTTTCTTTACAATATGACATCATGAAAGCACTGTGTATGTGTGAGGCTGTTGGGGTGTGTGTCTGCTTTTGTGTGGGTGTTTCCTGTGTAGGGCTTTTTTTGTGTTGTAGTGCGTTCTCATTTATCACCATGTTTTGTGTCTAAGTGTAAGCTTTGTAATTAATGTAAGACATTGCATTTTTGTTTGCTCCCCCCATCAATTCTGTATTACATCATGCTTCCTCTCCTATCTCACATTTGGCCTCACACTTCTGCCTTTATCCCCTCCTTTCTCCTCCTGCTCCTTCCTCTCACACGTCTCTCCTCTGACCTCCCCGTTCCGTTGGTACTTGTTCCTCCCATCTTCTCCCTCTTTGTTTCTTGTCGCCCTGTCCTGTCTCCTCAGATCTGTATAAGAGCCTCCAGTCAGGGTCTCAGGTTGCTCTGCCTCCTCACTTGCAGCTCGCTTTCTCAGGTAAAATCTGACCCTCGCTCCCTCCACCTCAAAAGCCTGCTCCTTTGCTCTTCTGCTTTTCCTTTCAAGTGTCTGATGTTCTCTGTCTCAGGTTGTCCCCCCCCCTCCTCCTCTTTTTATTTATTTATTTTCTGTCCGGTCCTGTTCTCATCTGTTGGTGGCAGCATGCCTTACTTTAAAAGATTTTTTTTCCTTCCCTCTTTGTAATGTTTTTGTTGAGATTTCAAACACTGTGCTGTTCCTGTCTAGATGTCAGTCAAAGCCAGGGAGGTGATGCTAAGAGGAAGACTCTATGATCCAGCGGACCCAGCTGATGCAGTCCAATCAAACGAGGAAACGTTGGGACAGCCGGGACGCACAGACCGCACATAACAGGGGTCTGAATTACAGACTTTTGCTTTTAAGATCAGCTCAACTATCCACAACTACCAGTTAAAAATAACCTTTTTAAAACAATGACAACTTTTAAATCTTTGAGCTGTTAAATAAAATGGCAAATGCAGTTTGCCAATGTTTACACAATAGACCTATATCACTGTGGACAGGGAGGAATGAATGAATGGGATTTATAGTTGATTGAGGTGTGTGTGTGTGCTTGCTGGGACTGTGTGCCTTTTGTATGGCTCCCTTTCTGATGCATGGTCAGTGTGTCTACTTGGTGCTGTTTTTATCATAATGTAATTATCACTGATACCTGTAAGAAATGTAAACAAATTGTTGAATTTGAGCTTCTTTTTTTTTTTTTTTTTTTTAAAGAGAGAGCTGTACATGTTTTAATTGTACTTGAATTCTTGGATAAATTTGTTCCTGTATAGAACTCAAACTGACTTTTAATTAAAATCTTTCTCTTCAAATGAATCATTCAAGCTGCATTATGAAAGTCAAATGAAGCTGAAGCTTCTATATCATATTGACCCCTGGACCATAGACTGTATATAAAAGCTGGACATAAAACAGCATTTTTGGCCATTACTATCTTGGTGTTCAGCTGTGACAAATGAGAGGTGGATCTGACTGGAAGCTGAAGACAATGCAGACTTGTGCAGTGTCAGCGTACCTACTTTATCCACTGCTCTGGCTTTAATGGGGACCATCCTTTGTGAAATAAACATGTTTTATCCTGTATGACTGGAGTAGAGAGTGAGCCCATACACTATTCGAAGTGTTTGCAGACATCATTAGAATTGATTTCGTTTTGCTAACTCTCTGTTAGCATCATTAGCTATTTTTATTGCCTCCAATAGAATGATTAATGTGGCGTCTCTCCCAGGTTTAATGTCCAGACATCCACAGATTAGGTTTGAATGTGAGCTGGCTAGGAAACAAATTATATACTGTGCAGTGACTGGAGTTATCTTAAAAATAAAATACAACACATCTGTAATTTTGGGCATAAAGAAAAAAGTAAATAGTGATGTCTGGAAGGGTTAGGGAAATTGGTCCAATTGAGATACAATTAGTAGAGAGAACATGTTGGATGAAAGTACATATTGTGGCAAAGACAAAGGTCATTTAGCAAAAAGATACCAAAAACAAACTTCAGTCAAAACAATGCCTGAGATAACCCCACCCAATTGAAATTACAAGGCTAGCCATTCGTATATTGCTACACAATTTGGATTATCTAATAAAAGAATAGAATTTTAAAAAAGGCCTGATCTTAAGCCTTGTGTTCACTCTGCAGTCTTACTCAGCACAGGAGTGTCTGGAACACAGGACTTTTATCAAACTCTGTTTAAACACTTGCTACATGATTATGGCTAATATGGCAAAATACTACAACATGGTAAAAAGGCAAGAGCCCAGAAACTGTGTCCCTGGATCCTTAACAAATACAATCAGACCTGATTTTGTAAGCAGAGTCAAGAAAGAATGCAGGCTTAAAACATTTCAACATTGCCTTCTCTTTTCAGACCTGCAAACAACAGCCATCTTTTACATACAGTCTCTGCTCCTCAGACGCCTTTACAGTGGTATTTATGAGAATGTCGAAACACAACATGACACAATTATAGGCAGTGTAGATTTAATTGAACCCTTGATTTAGCTATTAAATCAACTTAGTCCTTAATGAAACCCCAAATAAACCAGACATGAAAAATGCAAAAGGTCCTCAATAATAAATGTTCAAGTGTCTGAAATATTTTTTGACATCAACTCAAATGAACAGAGTCCAACAAGTAACAAGCAAGACAAAAACAATTAAAAAAACAAAACAAAAAAAGGGGGTGGGTAAATCTAAGCAGTTTGTGAATGATGTAAAAATGAAGGGCAACTCGAACTGATAGTACAGGAGGCGAGGATTGGCAGGCCCTCGTTGAGGTTGTCCCAGGTAGTTGCCCCCCACCAGCAAAGCACTTCATTTCCACCTCCTGGAGCCTACTTGACCAGAGGCCTGGTTTTGTCGTCGTCGCCACACTGGTGGGCTTTGTACTTTTTCACCTCAGCCATGTACTTAGACCAAGCATCGCTCTTGCCTGGCTCAGCCTGCAGGGGAGGAGGCAGAGGTTATCACCTGTGGGAACAACACAATCAATATTGCCACCTTCCATCCCACTTACTTCTGTGTCTTGTTTCTGCTTCTTCGCAACAATGCCGGTCTTTAGGAACACACCGCCTCGGCGCTTCCCCACCTGGGTTAGGGGATAGAAGACTGAAACCGTTATACGAGCTCTTGCACGTGGACTGCCAATGAAGGAGACTACACCAGAGCAGAAGGTCTACACTTAGTCTCGCGCCACCAGCGAAACCATCAGTGAGGATCATCCCTACACTTTACTAAGCTATTGTTTGTTTTACACCATCACTGTGGGTGATTTTACTGAAATATCTCAGGGATAATACAATCACCGGCATATGTATGAAACACTCATAAAAATGACATGTCAGCCATCAGAGTAATAACTATGGTGCCAGTAAGCCTGCTGTATCAGTGCATAGTGCTTCACTTTGGCTGTGAGTGGAACTACTGCTCTCTCATCTTACAACTGCTAAACCCCTTACAAAGCTCGTCACGGGTGGGGCCTTCTTTTCCACTGGTGTCTGTCCTTGCTCGGTGGCTCTGGCATCTCCACCTGTTTGCTGCATCTCCTTTTTCCTCCTCTCATCTTCCATCTTCTTCTTGAACAGCTCCATGAAGCTGCCGTCGTTAGCGAACACGTTGCCCCCAGGCATCAGGGGTTTGCTCGATGGCTGTGCGGGGCTGCTCGAGGGGGACGCGGGGCTCCCGCAGCTGGAGTCCTCGCTGCTGCCGCCACCGCCGCCGCTCGTTTGAGGTTTGTCGTGTGCGCGTTTTGGATCCATAGTTCCTGGGCAAGCAGACACAGTCTGTTGTGTGTTAGCTGTGTAACACGTATGGCTTTGTTGTGTGGTTGGCCTTAGCGGAGAGCACTGCCAGCACGCCTCAACCGCAGTGCAATACGAAAACCTAAAGTCTATTTAAAAATAGATCAGCTGCACAGTCCAGTGTGGGGATATGGTCTTTGAAAAATAAGGCGAAGTGTAAAAAAAAAAAGAAGCCAAAAGGCTTTAAAAATGTCAGCCCTCTAGCACACAATCCCCGGGCCCCGACAAAAACAAAAGCAGGCGCTGGTTTAGCTGCTAACGCGGCTAACAGCTAATGCCCGGTTCGGTAAGGCCACTGCAGACGAACAAACTCAACTACGGCCTCCCAGTTCATGTGCGGAACCTATTAAGGTATAAGCATACAGCTGCGGCTCACCTAAAGGTTCAAACACCTGCGACAAAGACAAGGAGGGTCAAAATTTGTTCTCGCAGTTATCGCCAACTTTCACAAACCGTCACCTTTGCTCCGCCATGTTTCATTTTCTCTGGTGACATCACGTGGCAGCTGTGTAGCGCCTCCTGCTGTGCCGGAAGTGAAATTGATACTAAAAATTACATAACAGACGGTCGTTGGCTGGAAACTGCTGGCTCTCAGGTCTGCTTCTGTTGACACGGTACAATTTAATACACCCAGTTTACACAGCCGAACATGAGCTCTGTCCTTCACTCTGACAGTGACGTAAACGATACTCTGTGCTATATCGCTTAAAATAAAACCTCACTGTATTCATTGTTTTTAGATATTGATTAGGATTGTCAGGAGCACTGTCATTAATCCATTCAATTTACACTTGTATTAAAAGGTCAAGCTGATCAGTTCACATTATGCAAGCTTATTTCATACTTCAGTCCTGTGCAAAAGTCTTGAGCCACACCTTATTTGTTTTTGTGTTGATTCCAAGAAGGAAACGGGGGCCTGCGCAGGGTGAACTCTTCCTATGGTAGCTGGATAGGCTCCAGCACTCCCCTGCCGCAACCCTGATAAGGATAAGTGGAAGAAAATGGATGGAGGGTGGAAGCTGGACATGTGGTGGACAAAAGACAACGAGGCAGGCTTTAATCAATAAATAAATAACCATAAAATAGTGGAAACCCAACACAGGATCCGAGTTCACTGAAGCCTCATGAAAAATGGTCTCAGTGGGTGGCCATCTTACCTTAGAGTTGAGGGTGTGTTAAAGAATAAAGGTGGTCATACAAACTGACTTCAAGTTTGTTTGAATTGTAGAAACTGTTTTTAATCCTTAATGTTTAATCTGCTGCATCTCCCATTTTCCCAGAAAAATATAAAGAAATCAGGAGTGGTTCATGGTTGTTACATAGTACAGACTTAACAAATCTTAGGTGAATCTTACAGCCCCCCCCCCCCAACATGCCATTCTATTACATTGTGCTGTTGTTCATCATGTTTGAATGTGCCACCTCTCTTTAATCCGTTGAGATGTGCTTGTGGAAAAGTGGTGCGACGGATAAACAATGCCTTCACCGTTTTGACAGTTGCACAAAGGATGTGAGAAGTTTGACTAATCGGTTTGGCCTTTAGGACTGTGACGGAATGAAAGTCTACCCACAACAAGGGCCCACTTTGATAAAACCTGGGTTGGCGTGCTTTCTCAGACCTCTCTGGGTGAGTCTAAATCGGAAGGGACTGAAAGGGAGTCTTTGAATGCACTGAAAAGAAGAACACAAAATGCCATCTTTAACTTAAGATCCCATTTATTTGTAGTGCAAAAAGTAGAACAGAGAGGACTACAAATAATTTAACCCTGTGCCAAGTACATTATGCTATAATCTAGTAGACCATTTCATGATGCAACCTTTCACACCATGCATATGTGGACCAATAATTTTACGCCATAAAAATCAACTTAAAAAAAAAAAAATCAGTAGAACAAAAAAGTAAAAAGTGTTTACACAACAGCAGGACTCTGGTCTTTGTAGATCATAGCACAAACTGTTAGAGGCAAGTACAAGTCACAGGACAGCAGCTCTGACATGGGACGCACAAAAACAACTTGATCAACGGTTGTAAAGAAAGGCAGACGTAGAGTCTGATAAATGTGCCTCAGGCTTTTTAATCTGCTGTCGATTTCCTGTCACAGGAAAAATTCCAGCGCATTGAAGAACACGTTTCCTTCCAGCTCAGCCGTGAACAACACCTAGCAGCGGCAAACAGCACATCAGCTGACTCAGTTTTATATATTTTTTAGTGTTTTTATGATTAGAGACTCTCGCATAGTGTTATCCAGTTTTTGTGTTTAAAGTGGAGAGTGCAGTTGGGTCCGACCCACAATCAGACCCCCTGATGGGGGAGGTCTTATGGATAGGAATATAAAAAAAAAAAAAAAAAAAAAAAAAATTATATATATTTAGAGGCAACAGCGAAAAGAAAAATACACAAAAGTCCTATCACCAGACTTGAGCACGTACCTGCAGTGTGACAGAAACAGTGTTGGCGCTGCAAACATGTCAGTGTTCAGTCTCATCTATAAAGGGCTAGCATGGGAGACTTTTGCGAGGCACTGAACAAACCCACCCTTCTAGAGAGAAAGTGCTTTGGTGTACACTGTGAAATATTTACAAAAGACATGTTTCAGATTTAAGGCTGAGAAGGAAAAAAAAAAAAAAAAAAAAAGCATTTAAAGAGAATACAGAAGAAATCGAGACTAAAGCTGTTACACACCCGCTTGATTTTTACATTTTTTCCAAAGGTACTTCAAACTTAGACTAAAAATAAAAACGCTACAAGAAAAAACAAAAAAACAAAAACCTCAGCAAACACATAAAACCCAAAAGGTAGTGAACGTGACGATCTGCTGTAGTGGAGGTATGAGGACCGCTTGTGCAGCTTTTGTTCTGTAGCACTTTGAGTAGTCAAACTTCTCTGTCATCTATCACATTTAAACTCACACCTGACAAAACTTGTTCCACTTCTGTTTCACTGTTTAACATAAAAAAATAAATAAAAAAGGATTTTAAATAGATGTTCAAGGAAAAAAAAAAAAAAGTCCAAGAAGCCACAGGGGAAATAAAAGTCACCTTAAAAGGTGAGGTCGCCTCTTCTTAAGGCCTAGAACTCCTACTTTTTATCAGAGCAGAGAGCTTCTGCTCTGGAGCCCAACGGAGAAAAGAAATCTTCTCATATCAGTAAGAGCCAGCAGGGGGCAGCAGCAGCGTGACAAAACTGAGGCACAGTGATCCCAGTGAAGGCATAAAAAAGGCAAAAGACACTCAGAGATCACATGGATCACCTTGTGTGCACTTTGCTTTTCATTTGAGGGTAACTGTCACGCCTCCGTGTCTCATCTCGGGTGGTGTCGTGTCAGGCCTCTCCTTGCGTTGGTGAGTTGTCTCTGCTGGGCGAGGAAGGACATGGCCTGGTTGGAGGAGCCCAGCCGCTCACCAGACACTTTCTGATGCAGCCCCATTCCCTGACAGGTAAAGAGGGCGGAGGAAAGAGAAAGATGGAGTGAGGGATTGGGTGGTGTGGATGTAGTTCCTGTTTGAGCTTTTGTGTATTTACACGCTCGCTCACCATGTTGTACCAGGCACTGATGATGAGTTTCACCTCCTGGTCATGCCTGGCCCTGCTCTTCTCATAATCATGCTGTATAAAAGGAACACCATCGTCATGCATTAGTGGGATTTACAGTGCTGATGGAAGCACACTTGTCTCTCAGAGTCAGAGGTTCATACCTCCAGATGCTGGATTCTTCTCTCCTTCTCCATCAGCTGGTTTTTCATGGCCTGACTATCAGGAGCCACTGGCTGCTGCTTAGGATCCAGGGTTTTGATCACCTGCACACAAAAGGATATTCATTTAAAGAGCTTAGAACATCATTTTTTCTGATATTTAAAAAGGTCGAAGTCTTTAAAAATGTGTGAAATAAAAAGTGCAGTACTCCTATAACCACTGACCGTTCTCGCCTTCTCCACGTAGCGTTTGTATCGCTGCTCCATCTGCTTCATGTCCTCGTCCTTCTTCCGCAGGATCTCCTGGAGTTCATCAATCTTCTTAGCCACTAGAAGGAAAAACAAATTTGTGTTTAGGAAAGGAACAAAGCTGAACTTCTTCTGAATACCATCTACATGACATTTCTTACTGTTGCTGTCTACTTTGGGCTCCAGGTCATCAATGACCTCTTTTTTCTTTTGCAGGTCTGACTGGGCCTCCTGGAGCTTCTCCCTGGAACAGTACACACATCGACACTTGTGCGAGTTCACTTTTGTTTGCAGCACAGAAGGCAGACAGGCATCAGTAAGCAGCAGAAAAATAATACTCACAGGTGCTCCTCAAGCTTTTTCTTCAATAAGGACGACTTCAAAGAAGAAGAAGAGAAAGAAAGAAACTTAAAATCCATTGTACTTAAAATGGCACACACACACACACACACACACACACACACACACACACACACACACACACACAAAACTGTGAAAGTCAAGGTGTCAGAGTCAAATCATAGGCCAGTTGGAGAGAGGGCGGGCCGTACTTACGATGGCCTGATTTTGGCAGAGTTGATCGGTGGGGGCAGGCGGAGAGAGACAGACACAGAGGGGCAGGCGTTACCGGTGAATCACCACAGCAAACACGGGTTAAATTCCCACACAACATGTATCAAAGTAGGAGAACAAACAATGCGGTCCTCAAAGGCAGAGTGATTTCAGAACTAATCGTTTCAATATACTCAGTGTGCCATATAAATACCATGCCAGCTAAAACCCTTCAATGACTTGAGCATATATATAATAAATGACTTTGTTGGTTAGAATTTAATCTCGCATCTTATATTTCACTTCTTCAAGGTAAAACTGATGAGAAAAAAAAAGTCAGTTGCACACTGTGTATATGCTGCCAATATTCTGTCAGCTTGATTGTGTTGAGTTATGTAATAGCAGAAGTGGGCAGATGAGAAGCAAACCGGTCTTTCTACTCACGTCCTCGTTCTTGCTGTCCTGCTCCTGGAGTGCTTTCTGGAGCTCCTCGACCTGAGAACGCAGCTCTGAGATCTGCTGCTGGTTCAGCCTTGGAAAGAGGAAAATAAAGGAAACATGGGGTAAGAATGAGAGGAAAGGTTGGGAAGAGAAGGAGGAAAAAAACAAAAAACAAAAAGGAGGGAGGTGTGTGGGGGAGGGGGCATGACTAGAGAAGGAAAAGGGTTTATAGAGAGGCAGATGGTAAAAGACGTGAAAGATGCAACACAAACTTATTAAGCTGCTGCTACTGTGGGTGGAAGATGTTTGCAAAGTATCAAGTGGGTCCTTGTACATCTGCTGCAGGCACCGACTGTGCCGCCTGGCCATTCACTGCTCTGCTCTACTGAGCATGCTCACTCCACTCCTCTCCTCCTGGTACTGTTGCTGAGGATGCTTCCCACACCCTGGGCCTGGTGTTGCAATGGACACACACACACACACAAACGTACACACACACAGTCCACCCACATGTCCACATGCCCACAGGCATGTAAACACACACACACACACACACTGAGTCGAGGGACAATCTGGCTTTCTGC